CCCACCACTGTATGGGTTAGCCCTACCATAGATTACCCAACAAAAATACTCTGGAGCCGCAACTGCCGACCCGTATTGCGCATGCGCAGATCTAAGATCCAGTAGAAATGATACAAAGTAAAAGTCTGCTGCTTATTGTTCTACTAGGCCAAAATAGAGTCAAAGAGTATATGAGAGTGAGAGTGTGTTAATTAATATATTTGGCAGTTTGGAGTAAGTCTGTAGATTTGTTTGTGTGTGTGTGTTTCATGTATAGGCCTCTCACGATAATTAATTTTGTTGGATACATTTTCCCGGAAATTATTGCGATAAACGATAATATTGTCGGCACCATTGTATGACCATTTTAGACCACTGACATAATGATAATATATAATAATAATTCAAGTACATCCTTTCAAACTGCTAGTCACATCCTCATGTAAATGGCAATTTATCGAGGTCAGAAAAGTTATCGAGTTCATTTTTATTTATCGTACGATAAGTCAATTAATTGCTTATTGCGACAGGCACACAATAAAACAGTGGAAAAAAACATGTTTGACTTTCATTAGTGAATGAAACTTTGTGCCCTTTATAGTCTGTGTCCATTATTGTGTATTTGTATATATTGTATATATATCTTATATATATGCTAAGGTCCCGCTGCTGACACGATAGCAGTCATTTTGTGCGCATATGTGTAATTAAACCGAATTAAACCCATGATATCAAAATCTCACTCCAGCCAGGTACCCAAAGTTGGCAACCCTGCGTAACAGCACCGCACGTTCATGACAGCATGGTAATGGTTTGTTATTATGATAGATTTTATATTAACGATGCTGCAGTTAGCAGCTAGCGGTTAGCTAGTAATTATGCTAATTTACACATCAATCGTTATGTACTTTTATATTACGCTGTAACAGGATCTAGTGATATCCAAGCAACAGAGCTTCATTCAGCATGAAAGAATTATTGCACTGTATATATATATATATATGTATATATATACAGTGCAATAAGCTTCTTAGTGCAATAAGAAGCTACAGGGACGTTAATCTACGTCGGTAATATTAACCTTATTTAATACAACATTTACGGTACAAGATTTAATCATACAGCCCATGTAGTATAATATTTTACAAATGATGAATTACAGCAAACATGTGCAATATATCCATTATTACAGCTCTGTGGGCTGGCAGTAAGGCGATATGGGTCCGTTCTTATTGTGCATCCATGGGTAAAGATAAACGCATGTAGTGCTGAACACGTAACATGAACGTGCCGGGCGGCGCGGTCCCGTGGGTTAGATGCGCGTTCATAATGCAGAGGGAAATAACTCTCAGAATAACGTTATTAGCACATTTTTACAACTTGAGGAACGAATGTTTTTAATAAGAGCTATACAAATGTTCATACTGGGTAGTTTATTTAGTTTAAAAAAAATTATCCAACGATTTACAGACCACTCTTTCCCCATGTAAGTCGATGGGAAAAAGTGTTTCCGGGCCTGGCAACCAAAAGGAAGTGTAGTAGGCCTACCGGTGTTTGGCCAGCACGAATATTTTCATCTGAGTCCGGCGCACTTCCTGGGGGCTTGATCCAAAACTCATAGAAAACTACTTCTACTTACTTCCGGGTGTAGGGGAATACTTACTTCCGGGTGTACAATTCTCCGTTATCCAATGGGAATGGACGCTCACATTGCCTTTAACAGCCTCCGACACAAATGAATGCCGTGCTTCCATGAGCGTCAAATCCCGCCGCAGATGGGAATACATTGCAATCAGTTGCAAGCTCTTTGCTTCTGTTTATGAAGCTGAAGGAGCCTAGGAGCGTCCCAACTGCACGCCTCGGGACCCTGACCAAGCGTCACTCCTGGACGTTTATGGAGTGAGAGTGTGTTGAGAAAAGACATTCAACACCTTTTATGAAACTGAAAGGCAATTATTACATGATTGGGTATAACATTGACATTTGACCTGATGGTGGCCTTTACATTACCGTAGCAGACCTGAAAACCTGTTTCAAATGCACCTTGGCAAATACAATAAAAAAGAAATAAAAAAGCATATAAGTTCTGTATGTAGCGCGTTAAATTGTTTGACTTATTAAGAGCTGATGTACCTGCAGGATTCTTGCTGTTCTGAGTTACGCAGCGTCCACACGGCAGCGTGCGTTGAAGCTTGCCGGCGGGCATGTCTGAAGCTCGACCAACAACCAATCACATGAATCTCCCGCCCCGGACACACAAGCACGCGGTTTGATTGGCTAGAGCTTGTACTGGCATATGATTTGATTGGCTGCTTGATTCTGTCGAAGCTTCAAAAGTTTAACTTTTCTCAACTTTGGAAGCGAGCAACACGAGCAAAGCGAAGCGACGGAACCACAATGCAGTTCGGCAAAGCGTGACGTCACCCCATTCAAAGTGAATGGGAAGAAGCGTTGAAGCTTCAACGCACGCCGCCGTGTGGACGGGCCGTTAGCATCATAGGGTTGATTGAACTTTATTGTAAGTCACTTTGGATCAAGGGTAAGCTTGATGTGACGTAATATTATTACATTTTGATATTACAAGTACAATAAGAGACATGTATGTATAAGATCAGATGATTCTAACAACATCAGAGAGAACAGCACTGCTCGCTGTGACTGGAAGGCTCTTTACTCAGACTGCTCTCAGACCAGACAAGTGTTATCCATCAAGTTTGGCCTAGAACGTCTCGTAAAAGTCTGCAGGAAGGCCGGCGATCCTTGGAGCCTTGCCCCTCTCCAGCTCTGCATTGGCCGTTTCAGTGACCTTGAGCACGCCATTTTGGAAAGCCTGCTCCCCCTCTAGGGTCTCTTGAAACTATTCAAAAAAAGATTCTCTTCGAAAGCCAATGCACACTGAAAACATCATTATTTTTGCAGCTGTTGCCCAGGGTCCGAAAACACAGAACGCTTCTGCCCTTTCTTAGTAGGATATAGCATCACTCAGGCACTTCAATATGACGCCGACTTGGCCTTGTCCCTTGATCTCTTTATAAAGACCTGTTAACACGTATGCAGAACATTTCCTTTAATCATATAACATTGAATTTATTTGCACAGTACCGTTGTTGAAGAAATAAGAGGAAAACCATTACATTTTACAACACATTGACACATTTAAACTAATTTCCTTAAGATGTTTCCTGATACTCAAACATTATTTCTGCTATATGGGTCATTTTGGAGTCATGTATTTTCTCAGATAGAGATATCAAAGTTTTGTGACGGCCACTCATTCCAAAGCTGCTCACTGGGTGCCCATACAGCCTTTTTCAGGTGTCCTATAGCTTCAACATTTTCTGAGAGCATAAACAAAGTACCTTGGTGAAAAAGTGTGAAGTTAGAAATTGTAGCTGGGAATGAGGTCACACCTAAATTCACACTGTTACAGGACAACAAGATGGAAAACCATTAGCCTCGTTAGCCATTGTTAGCATTAGCAGTTATACAAAAACGTTAACCTGAAATGTATTTTTGTATATGAATTGCCCTCGGTTGGAAGAGCACTGTATAAATAAAAAAATAGACAGACACATACAACCAAAGTGCTAATAAACTGTATATTATGACAATTAACATTAGGCGCGTTCACACCGGAGTACTTTTACCCGTACTTTTTCCCTTTAGTTCCGATAGTGCCTGGAATTTTGCGTTCACACCAAAAAGAGAACATAGTTCAGAGAACTTTTACCCCCATTTGTTGTGCCTGCTAGAGAGGTGAGACTATCCTGGGGAGAAAAAAGTACCAATTTCTGATTGGCTGGGCGAATTGCAATCCACGCCCCGTAAAACTCTGAAAAGTTTTTTGAAGCCGCCATTGTATTTGCTGGCATTAGCATTATTAGCATTAGCATTAGCCCCGCGCACCAACGGAGAGAGAATAACTCGGATTTACTCGGAAGGCTTCAGCTGCTGGGAGTCCCAGCAGCTTCTACTGAAGCCAGTCCCCAACTCTGGGGACTTCGGGTGGCAGTATACGCCGTGAAGTTGTTTGCGGCCTGCCAGTAAACCCAAAGCAGAAGAAGAAGAAGTGACGTCAGCGGTTTCATTTGCGTAATCTCTTAGTTCCATGGGGGTACTAAGTGCTGGGAACTAAGTGCAGGGAACTAATGCCCTTGCCACACAAGGACGATAACGGTCGTATCTGGTACAGTTCTCTATTAGATAGACGGTTCGGCCACACGAGGCCGACACGGAAACGCAGGAAACGACAACGATAATGGGTCCCTAGGTGGGTAGATCTGCAAACGAAACGCTCTGGGGGGGCAAACGGCTCCGTGTTTACGCCTATACGATCATGTCCTGATAACGATGATGCAATAGCCCCGCCTCTCCTGCTCAGAGATCAGCTGCTGGGCTCTCAGAAGAGGGGGAGGAAAAGAGAGGCTCCGTTTTGTATTCTTATATTATATAGAGTCGTTATCAATTTGTTTTAAAGCTCAATAAATAACAAAGAAGACCTTTGAACATTTCAAATTTTGTCCGGAAGATTTAAACTTTAACGGACATGTTGACCGGCGAAAACAAATCTAACTGAAACTCTGCTGCACGGTCCCCTCGTCCCTTGGAAGAGGCGGAGAGGTGGGTGTTTTTCATCTGCTGGTGGACTAACCGGAGAGAATTACAGCAGGAGCAAACGCTTGCCTCGGGGAGGGAGAAAAAGAGCCAGAGCGTCCACAGCGGAGAATAAACAGAAGGGCAACCATGCGCGGGAAGTCTTCTTCGCTGCTTTTGTGACAGACTACAGCGCCACTTACAGGCCTGGCATATGTACTACAGCGTCTCCAGCACTTTCGAGCAGTCTCGTGTGAACGGACACGTTTCTGGTGCCTGTTGCGTGTGGACGGAAGACTTTTTTGATAACGATTGCGGTCCGTTAACGTTATCGTCCTCATGTGGCAAGCACCTAAGTACGGCAAAGTACTTGGTGTGAAAGCGGCTATTGTGCCTTCATCCTTTTGTTCACAGTGGCAGCAACAGTTACAACTTAAAAGAACATCACTGAGAGAGATGGCAAAATAAGCCATTTATTGAAAGAATCAAAAGAAACTAAACATGGACACTTTTTTTTTTTTTTTTTTAATCAAGCAAAATGTAACAGTTTCCACGTCGAAAAACACAGTCAACACTACGTCTCTGAAACACTCAGTGTGATCAGGCAGTTCTGTACCGAGGGCAAAGAGCAAAACAGCAGTTTTTTTTATCGGAATCTTTTGTAACACGTAGACCTTCAGACAGAGAAAAACTGAAATCCAACACGTGGCTTTTGAAATGAAATATATACATTTGTTCTTACAGCATTTACATATGGAAAAAAAGAAAACAATAAGTACCACAGAAGAACTCTATCTGTCAATCCAAAGATACAAAACAGAACTAAATACACACCATGTAGAAAAACTGAAGCATGATGATGCTGCCAGGACATCACCTTATTGTTTTCATGAATGCTGAGAGAGAGAAGCAGCAGGGGGTCCGGGTTTTAGAGGAACACATGGGAGGGCTTGTCAGGGGGTTGGACAGGAACGTGCTTACACAACCCTGAGCTGAGAGCGAGGTGATGGGGGGGGGGGGGCCCTCACTTCACTTCCACTCTAAAGGAAGACGGGATGCATCAAAAAATGAGACCACCGACAACTCCTACAATGCCAACAGTCTAAATAAAAAATGTAAGACATTTCCTCTGTGTCTTTTCTTTGGACAGCATTGCTAGGGTTAGGGTTATACAAACATATACACCAACACAATGATATACACGATGATTTGGCTTACACAGATGGATTAAACATCATATTCATTTCAGCTGGAGTTTTGGGTGGATCCAGGATTGTTGGATTTGTCCCCCATTGGATCCCAGTATTAAGTTGTAAGGTAAGGTTTTTTGTAGGACATAACATTGAAAACATATTTAAAACGTTCATTTCAACTGTCTCAAATCTAATACAAAATCCAGATGTCACTTAGTACACTATCATTTACCACATCTGTGTTGCTTGCTATACTGTATCATAATTGGCCCAATTCATGTCCTAAAGGTGGTTTAATGTACCTGGAGTAGTGAAGTGGTGGCCAAAATGCACAGTTTGATAAATGTTACAACAGTTTAGCTTAGGGGCTAGCAACTATCCATCAGCCCTGTGCTACACAATATTTTGCCATTTGTTTATGTCCAGCAAACCTCAGATGTTGATGCATCCATACCACCGATACCGCCCGGGGAGTGTTTTGTTGGAAGTGAAGCCCAGCCGGTTGTAGCTGTTGACAGACTGAAGAGGGGGGGGGAGGGGGGGGTGGCAGACAGACACACTAACAGTAGGTAGACACTGACTGAGGCGCTGCATTCACACCAATATGGCTTCAGGCCTAGAGACATGCCGGCAACATGCAGACATGTAGACAGGTGACAAAGTGGAGGGTGGAGGTAAACTGCGTAATTCATCCAACCTTCATTATCAGCTAACACACAAGGTAAAGCTACAGGTTCCTTCCTGTGGCTGGCTTTGAGGACCCAGAGACAGAGACAGAGCCTGAGAGAGACAAAGCACAGCATCATAAACTCAACTTGTCTAAAACTTAATACAGAAGCATTGCTGGAGTTCCTTCTGTGTATGTGGTTGTAGGATGCAAACTGCATGTATGTGTCTATAAAGAGCCAACATCTGAAGTGTCATTCGGAAAGAACACTGACAAATGAAATTACCACAATTGCCCTTTGACCTTCCTATACTCTACTGTACTGTAACATGTCCTGTAATAGTTAACAGAGAAGTTCGATAGTATTGCTTTCAGTGTATGTATAATGCATGGGGCTCTACATAATCACAGATACCATTGTTTTGAAAGGAGGGTTTTGGTGTTTTGCGATATTACCATAGACTGTATATATAAAGGATATTACAGCTGGGAAATGCTTGAGGTGTTATCTATTTAATCCTAGACTGCGAATGAGTTTAGAGGATCTTAGAGGCAAATTCTGTGGTTTCTAAAGTTGTGGATTGTGTGATGTACTCAGGGGCTTCAGGTTCTTTTGAATTATCCCACAGATAAGCATGTGAAGGTATGTAAGACACTTCACTGAGTAACAACTGAAGAAGTGATTACATATGTAATACAAGTACAGGTTTGATTGTTTAGGCCACTATGCATAGTTTAATGTTCTGACCTTTCCATTAACTAAAAGGAGGAATATGAGTATTGGATCATTCATTGGACAGCTTTGGTGATGTCATCCTGCATCATCAGAACAACCTACAATTGGAAGTACATTTGGACTACAGCCAAAGCATGCTGCAGTTCACACAAGTCAAAACCATATTAAAGCGTAGACGCCCCATAGTTCATTTGAACTTCACAAAAAAATACAGCGGCATCATGAGATACAATCACTTCAAATTCATGTATTCATGTTTTGAATTCTAATTGGCAGGAGGAACAGCCTCTGAATGGTCCATCACAGGACACTAAAACACTCCAGTGAAATGTGAAACAGGTTGATGACTATTTGTTAATAATCATCAGCATAGAGTACAGTATGTATATTGGTGTAGCCTTAATGCTGTACGGATAAGTATGCTTTAGTGATTATAATTATATTCTGTGTGTCATTCAATGTCCTCTGTTTCCTTCATCAATCATTCATCACACACACTTCAAACCCTTTATCTCTCATTCACATATCTAGCTTAACAAGAGCTGAAGCTTAGTCAAAGCCAGTTTACGGCCATTTGTGTTTCATTAGTTTCTCAGCATTTTGAAATGTCATACTGTAGTTAACAACTCGATTAACTAATAGTCTTTGTGACCCATTAAGTTAGTGTTGAAGTGTTCATTTAACAGTCACCTCAAACAGATATCTGACCTGACTTCATAATGGTCAAACAGTGTACCAGCATCACTGACTTTCCAAAGTGATATCTCATTTTTGACAGATAGAGTTCAATGTCTGTTTTGCCAAGATGTCAGGACCCTTATCAAAGTTTCTTTAAACGGAGACATCAACACTGTGAAACAGGCCTTTCTCAGAGTGGACATTTGACTTGTCATTGCAGGAAAAGCACAGGTGGAAGTAATAATCGTAATGGTTTGTTAGTTAGCACTCTGACTGTAACACTGACACAGCAGTGAATACGACTACTATCGTTTTCTCTTTGCCAGTGAGCTATGCTGAACAGAGGTATCTCATCATTACATTACATTACAGTACATGTTACTTGTTAGACGCTTTTATCCAAAGCGACTTACATACTCAATACTGTGGGCAATCCCTACAGGAGCAATTTGGGGGGAAGTGTCTCAGGGACACAACGACATGCTGACTGCAGTGGGGTTTGAATCTGTGCTCCCCTGATCCGAACACCAACGCACTAGCCCACTGCGCCACAGCCTCATCACACTGTGGGAAGTAATGGGAAGCTGTTGACACAACCATATACATGACACCTGTGGAGAAAAGCAAAGCTGTTTGAGTGTCTGTAACACAACAACAAATTCTCTCCTGCTAGCTTGTCCACTGTTAGCTTGTCACCCGCTAGCTTGTTACCTGCTAGCTTGCCACTCAGTGAGGCCATAGAGGCACTGCAGATGAACAGAATTCTACAAGAAAAACTAAATTAATTCAAACAAATGATGTGATATTCTTAAACTTTTAAGAAAGGCAACAGCCCTAACAACAGCAACAAAAATGCTGATCAGTCTGATTTATAAGTGCTTTTGATGTCTGTACCTTGGATGGGACATACATCCATTTTATCCCATCTATCAATCCACACTAATCAAGAGACATACGTGTGGTACCTCAGTACATCTCTACTGTGTGTCTACACGGCCATGGCAATTTGACAGGACACACACCTGAGGGCAGAGATTACTGTGTGACGTTATGTTAGAAAATAGATTAGTTAGATTAGATTAGTCTAGCCAAAATCTCCTCTGTTACCCCTTTCACACCAAGGCTTTTCCCCTTCTAGCTCCGTGCTAGAGCTTTTCTGGTTCAGAACCGGTTCTTCGGTTTAGCGCCGGCTCTTTTCACACCGCTCAGAGCCCGACTGGTGCTGCCGCTGCTGCGTCATGACGTCACAGTTTACGTCGCTGAGTTTCTCCCCAACGCCGGAGCTCACCTCACAACAACAACGGGCCGGGGACTGCGTTGCTTTTAATCATACGAAGCCAGATTAAATTAAATAACGACTTCTCCAACCTTATACTTTTCTCCAGAGTGCCGTGGTTCATTGTTTATTAATGTGTTTCAGCGGCATTTACCGACCGCTGCAGTGCTGGCTGCTCTTCCACGGGAGTGTATTCTCCCGTTAGCTCCGGGTTAGCTCACACGGCTCTAAAGTATTCACTGTCTGACTGTCACACAAGCAGCTGATACATATCCCCAGTTCCCCTTAAGTGAATGTGTGTCAGTCTGAATTGACGCTGTTTGGTGTCAGTCTGAATTGACGCTGTTTGGCATCACAACGCTGTTATGAAAGTTTCTCTGGTATAACATGGGTGATGTTAGCATAGCAACCGAAGCTAAACTAACTACTTGCTAAGCCGTTTTATACAGGCACATTTTACCGGCGTATTTTTCATTATGATTGCAATTATGATTATGATAGTCGGACATGACAACCTGTGCAGCCCATGTATTGATTCCATCCGATAGCTGCTATAATAACAAACAAAACGTCTGCCTGCTCTCCACAATGATCAATAACAGCGAACGGATGGTCAAAGTAAGGTACAAATAAACAGAATCACACGAAGCCTGGTTAGTGTTGCCTGACTTTATAAAGCGTGTTTTTTTTTTACAAGTGTGTGGTTGCGTTCTAGTCACTTTGCTCAGCACTACTGCTGGTTACAACTTTTATTTGCCGTACTCGCCTTAACTGTTATCTCAGGTTAATCTCGCCCCCCTCCGACGTAAGCGGTTCTTGCTTCTACACGGACAACTTTTTGGTGCTCGAAACGAACCGGATTCCGGAGCTTAGAGGCTGCTCCGCTGCGGTGTGAACAGGAAAACCCGGTGCTTTTCAAGCACCAGCACCGAACCGGCCCCGAAACACCGTTGGTGTGAATGGGGTATGTGAGAAAGGCCTATTCCCCTCTGTAGTGCGGCGGTCACTTTAAGGGTCCTTGGACAATCGCAGTGCATTTTGCTCTTGTTGCTCAAGCAGACTGACAGACTTGTCTGTCGGATTATCAGTGTCCATAGAGAAACAGTTTATTAACTAGTTTCTTTTCAGACATGTCCTGTGTTTGTTTGTCTCAAAGGGACTGAACCTTTTTCCATATTCAGTCATTCATATAACTGTCCAAGTTTTATTCCTTGTGTTTCATAGAGATCCTGTTGATCTAGAATAGCGTCCTTTTCCTCATCTCCTCATAATTTCCGAACAAAATGTTTTCTGTTTTCTTACCAAGCTTGTTACACCCGTGGGTCTTCTTTTCCATCTATTCATCCATCCAAACACTTTGACAAATGTTCAGTTCAGCGCCAAGATCGTCTCTAAACCTGTTAGAACTTCTGGTCCATGTATACATTCTGACACATGAGTCTGTAGGTTAAAGTACATCCACTCCACTGTACTGCTTGTCCTAAACATGGGAGACCTTCTGTGTCTCTCTTGCCTGCTTGATGCTGTATAGCCACTTAATGACTCGAGCGTTTCGCTCCACAGCCGAGATGCCATATGGAACACGCTCCCCGGCCTCCTCTTCCTCTTCCTCAGCCGCGTCTGACAGCCCGTCGTTGGAAGATCGCCGCGATCGGTCGCAGTCCGAGGAGATCATAGAAGCGGATCGAAAGTTCAGGCTGACGATGTCCGAGTTGGCCCGAGCAAAGTTCTCTGGACCCACTGCCTCCAGCTCCTCTGGGTCAAGGCCGCAGTAGTTAAAAAAGCGCTCCACGTCAGCTCCGGCCCGGGCGTAGCGGTCTGACAGGTCTGACTTCGATCTGTGCAGCGAGGAGCGACGGACCACCGAGGAACCAAGCTCCAGGTTGGCATCTGTTGAAGTATTTGAAGGGTCTCCCAAATCACAAGGGAGCGACTGTGGGGTGCTGTTGTCACAGAGCGAAGGGGATGGAGTTGGACGAGCGGGGGGCAACGAAAAGGATAGTGCGGGAGGTGGGAGGGAGGCGGGGTTGGGTTTGGGTGGGAGGGGTGGAGCCGATGAGCTGCTGGACCGGGCCGTGCGCAGGGGCTTTCCATTGCACAGTCGCAGGAGGTCGGAGGAGGAGTGGGAGGTGAGGAGGGGGGGGAGGGGGGAGCGAGAGCGATCGATGACTCCTTCACCTCGTCTGCTAAGGTTGAGGTTTCCACCCTGTAGTGGACTGCGACGCCCCCCGCTGTTCAGCGGAGGGACCTTCAGAGAATGGGAGAAGGAGCGCAGGGAGTGTGAGGTGCTGGGGCTGGGGGCTGAGTCCGGGGGCTGCTCATTCAGCGCCATGGTGGATCGGTAGGTCAACGGCATCCTAGGAAACAGGAAGATAAATACATGAAATGCTGTAGCATCAGGTAGGTAAAGTGTGGATACTAAACGAAGGCTGGATTCAAGTAGTGTACATCCACACTAAGCTACTTATAGACAGAGAGGGAAGCTTAGAAATACCCCCTTTTACAAAATCAAAGAATGCATTGAAACCTGGATATCTAATATGGAGAGGTCCCCCCATTGACCACTGCCACTGCCTTCACAGCTTTGTAAGATCCCTGCAATAACCCCCTTCCATACTTCCACATCTATGTGTTTCAGCCATGTTATTTAGTGGGAATGCTGATACAGCAATCCAACTATATGTTATTCTACGGACAAAATTATTATTATTCCGCCGGAATTTTGCACCTCTTGTCCTCCTGCATTCAACATCGCAGAAACTCCGTTCAAACATCAAAACGTTCAGCTCGGTCGGGAATCGATGGCTATCATTTGGATTATTCATAACTTTCATAATTCCAGAGATACATCCCATAATTAATCACATTTTTAACCATTGAAGTCAATGGAGAAAATCTTCAGACTTGAACAATCTTCATGCGACTTCAACTGCTAACTGTTCATTCATACTTTCACTCAGAAACCTCATTCCAACTTTAAAATGTTACACACCTTTCTGACATTATTCGTGTAACACAACTTTTAAATCTGATTCTCACTTTTAGAGATATTAAACATTGTTCAGACCTTGGTAAAGAGGCTTTCTTCAGATTTTAACATTAACTAGAGTGCGTGATGTCACAGCTAGAGGGTAGGAAATCTTGAAATTTGCCTTCATATCTTTTTTTAAAACTGCCATAATTCCCAAACCCTACATTCCTGAGACATAATTTTTCATGACAAACGTAGGAAAACATCTCGTAGCTTGAAAAATGACAAATAATTAAGCAAAAATAATTAAACAAAATGCCTCTTGAGGGCATGAAGTGACAAAAACGTTCAACATGTCTCCATTAAAACCCATTGTAATTTCAGGCTGATATTTCCTCACAGCAGCAGCCGCACACTTTTAGTTGAACTGCCAAAAAGGCCACATTATTAACCCGAAAGTACACAAAAATTACACTTCAGATACTCAACTTCCTTGACATGCTTCACGTTTTGAAATTTCACAGATATCTGTTATGGTTCTTCCACAAAACGTTCACATGTAAGAGGTTTATCTCTCATTCAGAACAATGCAAACCTTTGATCTCTACAGAGCTCGTTAGCTCAACTATAAACACCTGTGTAATGGAACACGATGATGTCATCACTCCAACTGACAGCAGTCAGTTCTAACGGTAGGTCCACACAGCAGCGTCAAAAAAATCTTGGAGGTGGGCGTATCTGAAGCTTGGGGATTTTTCGCGAGCAACAACCAATCACATGAATCTCCCGCCCCCGACATACAAAGCAAAAAAGCCCGAAGTAAACTGGATATAAACTCCCCAAACAGGCGAAAACCTACCACTGTCTCTGCCACCTCCCTCCATGCCTGGCTCCTCCGGTTTGTATCCCGGTAGGTAAATAGGGACTGGTCATAAAGCACCGGGTGATTCCCTACCGCTATAATTAATTTCTCCTCCATTTTTTGGAATATGAGGAAATGACCTGCGGAATGTCTCTCCCAGCATGCACGCGGTTTCATTGGCTAGCGCTTGTACTGTCAGATTTGCATAAACGGGATTTGATTGGCTGATGCTTCCACCTCAGCTTCAAAAGTTGAACATTGCTCAACTTTTGAAGCCTGAGATGCCTGGAAATCTCCGCTTTGCTTCCCACAATGCAGTTCGGCGAAAAGTGAGGCAAAGTGACATCACCCCATTCAAAGTGAATGTGCAGAAGCGTTGGAAGATTTTTTTAACGCTGCTGTGTGGATGGGCCGTAACTGTTCATATTCTCTCTCTCTCTCTCTCTCTCTCTCTCAAATGCCGTCGCCATGAAACACGATGTTGCTGAAAGTCCAATGGACACGGTCCAATTGTCCCCCAATCTTCACTTGTATATCACCGGTCCATGCCTCAACAGCTCTACGCCAAATCTGAAATCTCACCATATGCCGAAACGCATCCCTCGTCCATAAAACACGATGTCCCTTTAACTCCTATGAAAATGTTCAAAAAGTGCTCAAAATTCACATGTGTGCTAACAGTCCAGCCGTGAAGACATCTACGAGACAGTTTTGAGATTTCTTCAAATGCCGTTGCCATGGCAACACAATGCTCGCCATGAAACACGGTTTTCTCATAACTTCAGTGAAAATGCTTCAAACGGCCCAAAACTTCACAGGTTTGGTAACGATGCAGCCATCAACGCATCTAAGTGTATTATGGGGTGTCATCAAATGCCGTTGCCATGGCGACAGACCACTCGCCATGAAGCACGATGTCGCTGTAAGTCCAATGGAAACGGTCCGATCGTCCCCCAAACTTCGCGTCTATATCACCGGTCCAGCCCTCAACAGCTCTACGTCAATTATGGGGTTTCTTCAAATGCCGTTGCCATGGCAACACAATGCTCGCCATGAAACACGGTTTTCTCATAACTTCAGTGAAAATGTTCCAAACGGCCCAAAACTTCACAGGTTTGGTAACGATGCAGCCATCAACGCATCTAAGCGTATTATGGGGTGTCATCAAATGCCGTTGCCATGGCGACAGATCATTCACCATCAAGTTAGTTCAAAAGTTTGCAGTTCAAATATTCTGCTGCTTTTCCAAGCCTTTTTACTTTCTTTTCTTCACTCATCACACATTCAAGCCCCCAGTGTTCATTTAACATTTCAATCTAAATTCTTCACTTTCTTCTTACACATTACATTTCAGCATAGCAGTTTAGCGTCAGCTTTTCAGCATAAAGCATTCCCACTAGCAATTTCTTCAGGAATTGCATTCTCTAGTTGACTTAGTAATACATCAAGGGTCATCTAGATTTCAGTATTTGGGGCTCAGGGCCAGAAGCTTTCACATCTAACTACAGATATTACCATGACAGGGCTTCTTATATGTTCAAACATTTATGAAAAAGCCAGGAACATTTATGACATTTGAGTCGATCATTTTACGTAGACGTGCTCGTACACAAAAACATCTTGTAAACTTTGTTTGATGTTGAAGAAGTAAATTACCCTGATGGTGTCCAACTTCTGGCCATTCCCCCTGCTGACCTCATCAACACAGCACTCTTAGCTCCGCCCCCTCGTCCTTCGGACGTTGCTCCTGAAGATGACGATGAGTTTAGCAGATTTTTAAGGATCTCCAGGTTTAAATTCTCTCGTTTGCTGCTGCCTGCACATGTGTCTGACTTAGCGTTGTTATTGGATGCTTTGAAAGGTATCCCGCCCCCATTTCCGCCTCCACCAATCCCAGAGCCCCTTTTGGACAGGAGGGTGTGACCGACGGGAGGCTTAGCCAGCACAGGTGGTTTGATTGGCTCCTGCTTGGCGTTGATAACTTCCTGGCTCTTGACATACTTTGCCTTGTCAGCTTCCAGTCTCTCCACAGCACTGAGACGCTTTGGGTTAGTGTCCACCTGAGACAGACAAAAATAATATGTTAATGAGCATAACTCTCCAATATCATTTCATTTCATTTCAAACCTTTATTTATTCAGGTTGTATCCCATTGAGATCATCGACCTCTTTTTCAAGGGAGACCTGCTCAAGTAGGTTCCACATGAAACATTAAAAACATATACAGAACAACAAAAGGACATCATACAGTAGCATTACAGGGATTACGAATTACATACTATCCACATGCACACATGCAATATTTTCAGGGTTCTTACACCTTTTCCAAAGTCAAATTCAAGCACTTTTCAAGCATTTTCAAGGTGCATTTTCAAGCTTTTCAAGCATCTTACAGCTGTTGTAAATTACATATTTATATACACATACTTATACTCAAATGATTATTTCCCTACCTCACATTAAATCAGATGTTCTTTATGCTATAAACAACCAAATGTGTGTTTCATAATAGCATTCTACATGAGGATGAAAAATTTAAAATGTTAGAAAAGAAAACTAAGTTTAATATTTCAAAATGAGTGACCCATCTGTACGTAGACTGGGCATCCCATATAACCTGGCTGAGCCAATATAAAACAATCAGCCAAATAACTTTTCAATATATTATTGATTACTATTTTTGAGGTACTTTTAGGTTGGCAGTAAACACAAGTCAGAGGTAAATGGTGTACTTTTACTCCACTACATGTATTTAATACCTTTAGTTACTTTACAGATGTGGATGAATGATGTGAAATATAATCAAGTGTTAAATCAGACTTTAGTTCCACCTGGAGTAAATTCACAAGCTACCCTGCAGTATACAAAGTCATTCAAACTAGCTGCAACTTTACCAGCTTTGATAACACTTTCATGATCAATCATTATAAAACATATCATATACAATTATTAGGGATGCTCCGATCGCCAATTTTGGGGCCGATCGCCGGAATCAGTATCGGCCGATACCGCTCTCTTTTCCTCTCTCCCTCTCTCTCTCTCCTGACAGCCCGTCAGTATCTCCTGCAGCTCACTGATCCAGTAATGAGCGACCCGACAGTGAAGAATAAATATATTTATAACTAGTTTAGCTTGTTCCAGAGGTAGATAAAATAGCTAAGTGTGTTAGGTCTAACTCTTAATGTGTGTTCTGCTCCGCTCACCAGTCCGTCACAGCGGGTGGAGCTGCAGGATTTCTGCTTCACACACACGTTGCATACCGCTATTTTATTGTCATTTTCGGACACTTAAAATACTGCCAGACTAGTGAAGCCATTTTGGCGAGCTTGTTTTGCCGCGCACAGAGAAAAGTGTCATGTATTTTACATGCAACGATAGCCTAATCTAAAATGCTCTACTCTGGCGTACCTTTCGTGTGGTGTGTGGCTCGTCAGCGCAGACTCTCGCATCGTTATTGTTGCACACTTTGCAGGAGGCTACTCTTGGGCTTCGCTTGACCCTCGTCTTAGCCATGGCTTGTATTTGTCTTCTGCTAGCCAACGCTCGTTGAAACGGCAACCTCCTGGCATACTGTCATCTATCACTCTCATCAGAATGCCCAGGTCACACACGTAACAAAAACACTTGCCGGTCACGCGCATAGCGCGGGAAGGTCGGAGCGGAGCTGTTTTATGTAAAAGCGAAGCAATTAAGCGCGCTCCGACTTCTTTATTTTCTTTTAATCTAAAAAGCGAAGTAAAGCATTTACAATTTCAAGCACTTTCTCCCAAATTCAAGCACCATTCCCAAAATTCAAGCACTTTTCAAACCTTGAAAACACCTCGTACAATTTCAAGCATTTTCAAGGATTTCCAGCACCCGTACGCACCCTGTATTTTGTATACATATAGGTTTTTAAACCCTAGACGTGCCCAATAACACTACCAAGGGGCCAATATCTATGAGATGCTAGGACCCGGACATTATATATATTTTGTTTCATTTGAGGCATTCAGAGACATTAATTCAAATGCAGTAAGGACTAGAGGACCCATCAGTGTATCCTCAATTATAGCTCCTCCAGAGAGCCTCCTCGATGTTCGATCCTCGAAGTGCATTTAGAGAAATTAGATGTCCTTCAACATGGCACGCTGAAATCCACTTCCGGGTCACTACCGGAGGACATTTGTGAAATGACACACACACACACACACACACACACACACACACACACACACACACACACACACACACACACACACACACACACACACACACACACACACACACACACACACACACACACACACACACACACACACACACACACACACACACACACACACACACACACACACACACACACACACACACACACACACACACACACACACACACACATACCTGTCTCCTGAAGTAGTCCGGGCCCTTATTGAGGATGCGGAGGGGTACGGTGGAACTGAAGGGCGTTGCGGGGCCAGCGGCCTTGCTATCTGGCAGGGCTGGAGCCAGTGTCTCTGTCGGCATGGCAACGAAGCGACTGGGGTGGCCGGCCGTGGTGGCAGC